GGATGGCGGTGCTGCTGCCGGGGCCTCAGGAAGCGCAGATGATGGGGTGTGCGCACTGTCCTTGTCACCACTGCACAGGCGAGGGCAGGGCAGTGCGGACCTATTCCTGGACCCTGTCTTCTCTGAGGCATTTGCGTAACGCTGTCCTTGCATCATAATGTACTACCAGTAGTTCTGTACCCAGGCACTGGAATGAGGCACAGCATAAGCAGCAGCACACATGTGAGCTTTGCGGTGTACCTTAAAGATAATAGTGCACTTTGACCACCTGTGTGCGTGCTTATCGCTTCGTGTCTCCTGGCAATCCATTGGTCCACGAAAGGCGTTGCAACTCTGTGGCATCGCTCAAATACATGAACGGGTGATGCATGCCGTTGCAAGAGTCAGTTGTCATGATAGATTCGCGTGCAGACTTCAAGAAGCTGCAGCTACCAGATCGTCCCAACTCGCAGCCGCTGTCAGTTTCGAATGCAACATTGAGCGTGTTCCAATTGTTGTTCTTGCGCACTACCCATGCAATTGCATTACTTTAAAAAGTCCAACGGCTTGTTTGTGCCAAATCCAGACCAAGTAGAGCACTTTTGAAATTTTTTTAATTTCAAAAAGGTACACGGTCACAGAATACATGCAAATTGCAGTGTTCGTGTGACGGTCGTGAGGTGACACAAGGCCGAAGCGCATCTCTCTGTCATTCTTGACATGAGCGGCATGCCTTGGGCATTGTCATGCACAGATACTTTTTTGGTTGCACGGGCAACCTGGCCTCCCCGGGGCCTTCATACATGCAAGTCCACAAGTCCACAAACACACAGACAAAAGGTTGTACTGCGCTCTCAGCAAATATCATGATAAAAACAGCACGAACCTCGACAGCGCTGTGGAGCTCAACAGCACCAGCAAGCACGCACTGTTTCGGCAGTAGGACTGGCAAGCAATGCAATGATGTGAAATGTACCCGTGCTCTGCAACTGCATGCAGTCACATTGGCGGACAGCAACGCATTTCGGGCTTGCTCCGCGCATCAGCAGTGTCAGACATGCAGCATCTCTGCCTACGAGACGCACACTGTGTATGCCAACTGATCTTCGTAGCACAGTAGTGCAGCAGTACTAGGTCACTTGCATCGGATTCCCACAAATGAAGGCAGGCAGCGTTCCGAGCAAAGAGTATATAAAAACAACATGATGACGACTACAGCGTCAGTGATGCGAGAAAGTAAACACAAGATTGCTGACTTCTTGCGGTACATGCATGTAAACAACACAGAGCAAGCAGCGAAAAGTACAAAAACGCTTCTCTGAAAATGCATGTCAACACACACCTTGCTTTCTCAGCCACGCCACCAGGGGAGCGTTTCCCGACTCCTGCGCTGTCCTTAACACCATCAACAGGGTCTCGTATCGCCAGCCGTCAATGTAGTCCCATCCGAGCGCGAATAGCTCAACAGGGCTGTTGCGCTGACGTGCGAGCATGGGCATCACATCATCCATCAACTCCTCCTCAAACCCCCTCCAGCTGCGCATCAACGCCTTGGCTATATCAAGACGCTCCATTCGCAGCGCAAGCGCGACGGCGTCAGCGCTGATGCAGCGAGGCATTGCATCGACAATGTACCGCACAATGTGCAGGTGCCCCGCCCTGACTGCCGTCTCTGAAAGGATGTGGTACTTGTCGTCTTCATCTAAATGGAATACATCAGGCGTGAAGCAGCCGTGCAACACGCCCTCGTCAAGCCACTCGTCAGGCAAAGCATCGAAGTGGTTACGCTTGATGTCAAAGCCCCAGTTCCCTGTGTGCGTGACAGCCCACCGCAGCGTGTCCACATGACCGTGCCGCGCACCACAGCTGCTAGGCCTGCCGGGATCCACTCCGGCATACCCGGAAGCCGGACGTGCGCAATCCATCCCAGCATGCCGCCTCCGTCTCCGCACCGCGCCGCCGCAATGGCTGCTCTGATGGCGTCCTCCACACCAGCAGCTGGCGCCTGACGAGCTGGCCTCTCAGGTGCACAAACCAGTCGGGGCGGCCGCTTTCAGCAGCGCTCGCCAGCATGGAGCCGTGCAGGGGCGAGTCGACGCCTGCGCCAGCGGCGCATGCCAGGGCGCATGCCAGGACCTCCTGCGTCCTCCACCTGCCCAGGTGGCGCCGCAGAGCGTGCCGGTGACGCTCCTCGAGCGCGGCCGCATCTGCCGCCGCGATGAACGCGTCGACGCTGGAGAACGCCTCCCTCCACGCAGTCCTGAGCAGATGCGCGAAGCCAAAGTGCATGGCGCACGTGGCCATGTACGTGCCGCGCCAGTGGGGGCCGACCCCCGCAATGTACAGCCAACTGCGCCGGCCCACAAACTGCAGAATGTGGCCTAGCATCGACCTGTCGCTGAGTGCTAGGCTCGCTGAGCTCCGTGCCATTGGGAGTTCTGACTTTCGAGCTGCTGTTGCAGGCGCCGTCCGGCACTTTTCGACAACAGCCAGCTGAAAGAGCACCAACTTCAGACCGCGGAAGCAGCTGCCGGTTGCACTCAGTTGGGTGACGATAGCACGCAGGCCATGAAGCTCGGCGTCCATACTTGGGGTTACGGCAGCAGGCCTCTCTGTGATCTCTGTGATCCCAACAAAGACACAAGAGCAGAGTCAGGTGAGGAGCATCCGATGCACACCGGAGTCACATATGTGCGAGCGCTTGCGCCCTTAATCGGAAGATTCATGTGCAGTGTTGGAAGGACGCAAGCACCAGCGCAGTCAAAGCCTCACCTTTGCTCAGGTGCCGCATTATCGCTCCCACCCTTGCGGATGCGTAGCAGCACGCCTCATCTGCAGGTTGCATCGCCATCACAAAGCTGAGTGGTGTGTGCACTTCTTGTTTGCGGGCAGAGAACTTGAAGTTTCCCGAGTTGAGCTTTCCTTTTGTTCCAGTTGACCTGGCAGAAGCCGCACAAGGCCACAGAAAGGCGCTAACTTTAGGTCAGGTCAGCAGTATGTGTGTGTACAGCACTGAAGCACCCGAAAGCAGCTCCGGTATCAAGTCCACACAGAGCACCAGATCTTTTTGTGCAGCACACAGCGTATATTACAACGGTGGCAGTGGTACAGTGCCAGCAGCAGCATCAGCGAACACTGTGGCTCAGCCGCTGCGCAGGAGGACTATAAAGCAGCTCCTAGTAAGCACAGCAGCAGCAAGCAAAGGTGCCGCTGCCATGCCAGGGTGTCAAACTTTTTTAGGGGTCACATGCTGAGCAGGTCACCTGAGCAAGGTCGACATGCTCTTCATGATGGACTGCAATTGATTAATCCAACAAAGTTCATCTGAGCGAACAGCAGCACACTCAAGAATCCCTTACGATGTGGATTTGATGTGCGCCTTGCGACATCGCGCTGCTGACAGTGGATGTCACTGCCGCTACCGGCGCAAACACATGCCACCCATGCGCTTTGACCGGCTACCGCGTGTGACCAGCTACCGCGTGTGTGTACTGGAGCTGCGTGCCAAGCGCGTGCTCGATGACCAGACCCGTGCAGAGTACCACGGCAGCAGGGAGCACATGCTGTGCTTCGACGCATACAAGTCTTAGACCATCGCCTCGGACTGCCGGCGCATGCGCTATAGCGTGCTGCACCACTACCGTAGTGCTGCAGCAACTGCCGCAGCAACGCTCAACAGAAAGCAGCCGCTGCGGCAGTTCGCATCGAAGCACTGTTCAAGACAGTCACGGTCGCCAGAGCTGCAACCGTCACGGCGGAGTTGAGATCGAACAGTAGCAGCGCTGGCAATGCACGCGGCGCCCCCCACACGTACCATGTAGAAGCAGACTCTGAGCCGGGTCTAGGGCAGCTGGCGGCATTCGTGCACGACAGCGATAATAAGTTCAAGGCAGGGCAACTTGTCAACTGCAGGATTTAATTTACTCGTGAGGACGCGGACAAGGAGGCGCGCCGTGGTACGCGTAAGAATAGAAGTGGGAGTTCAACCGCGTTGAGCCTTTTGGCGAGAGCATTGGCAGGCTGAGCTTGAAGCTCTACTACCGTCAACAGCGGCTGTTGAGGTTCTGCCACCTGGGCCTCGGGCGTCACCTGGGCCTCGGGCGTTTATTTAATGAATAAAGAAACTATACATCAAAAAATAAATATTTTTTCAAAAGTTTAAAAAACTGGAGTTGAACTTTGAAGTATGATGTTAGAGACATACCGATTTTTTTTTCAAACCTGAATTTTGGTGGTCCAATTTTTCTCTATGCTTTTCTACTTGACTAATTTGATTTTTGCAAAGTGTAACTGAGGGTATAACCTCAGAAAAGCTGCAGCACTTTGCAAGGTTAGGCCTCGCGTGCCGATGAGCGCACTCACTGACAATACTATTTGTCAATGCCTGGAGGCCTGACGGCTTGCAATGCATGCACCATGCTGATGGCCTTGTCAATGAGTGTAGCGCGCACTCGGTCACCGCAGTGGCGCTCCTGTACAAAATTGTCATTATGGCGGTCACCGCAGCGCGCGTGACACTGTGTCAGCTGCAGTGCAAGCGTTGGAGAACGCCGAGATTCAAACGGCCGCCGTGTGTCAGGACCATCCAGGATCCTGCTTCAACTTGCCTACTACTAGTAGCCTGAGGCTGAAGCTTCAGGGATGGGGGGAGCGCGGTGCTGTCATGACAAGCATAATGATGACCGCACTGGTGTAGTGGCAACATCTACCTTCGCAAGGTTGGGCTGAGCACACTCACCGTCACGGTGGCTGACTCATTGACAACTCACTCTCGCCCAGGCTGACAGGCTGTCAGTTGGCTCGTCTATGTAGTAGCATACATGCTATATGGCTGCGGCGCGAGTGTGCCAGCAGAGACACGCCGTGTTCCCGACCGCACTGGTGTAGTGGCAACATCTACCTTCGCAAGGTTAGGTAGGCCCCGCGTGCCGATGAGCACTGTGGCACGCTCATTGCCTGGTGCTACGCTGAAGCTGAGTCAGAAATGGCCGGAGCACGATACTGCCACCAAACACGGATGGACCGCACTGGTGTAGTGGCAACATCTAACCTTCCCAAGGTTAGGCCTCGCGTTCGATTCGCGGGTGCGGTATCCTTTTTTCCTCGTTCACTATCACTAATCTCCGAAACCTACTTACTTTTTCTGGGTTTCTGACCCACCCTTCAAAACAATAATTTCTTTTTTTTGTCTCTGACGCAAGCCTGTATGACCCTTCAAATGCTTGCCGTCAGCTCTGACACGGATACTCAAATCCTGACCCCAGGCCTAACCTTAGCCTAACTTTAACCCTAACTCTGACTCCACTTCTGGATCCTCTTACCCTAAACCGTAACCCACCTTCTCTCTCTTGTTTTTTTACAAGTCACTGTCGCATGCACTTCAGGTTGATTGGAACCTGCCAGTGTGCAGGTACACACATGAATCTGTGCGTGTGACTCTCTGGGTCAAGACTGTGGCCATGATCAGCTCCACACGTCATGTGGCATTGCAGCCACTATGAGTGCCACGTGCGTATATACATGCGTATGAACCCCCCCAACAACAGCCTTCACATCAGCAAACATGTGCACACGACATATGCAGTGTATGTGGACTTCTGTTTACAAAGGTTGCAATGGACGCCGGGTCCCTCCTATGCAGCAGCCTACCTAGCTTGCACTGTGCTTTAACAGCTTGGACACCGGCACTGCAACACAGCCAGCATTTGCGCTGCGTGTGTGTACGTCATGATGCATGCGCCCCACGCCACTGACATACTCAACTCAATGAGTATCCGACGCTAGCAAGCCCGGCTTTGCGCAACACATCTGCCTTCCTCGCGCCAGAGCACAGTGCCGAGTGCATTGCCAACTCCTTCGCCTGCTTGCCCAGCCATCCGCATGTCCTGTACGAATGCTTTATAAATACAAGTCCATACGTACGAATGCATTGACATATGCCAAGACGGCCCAAGACGAGGGATGCTAAGGTCCAGTCATATCTATTGCGGCGTATTGAAGTATACAATATTCAGTATTATGATGCATGTAGTGTCCTCTTGACATAGTGCGTGATGATGCACGCGCGCTGGCCAGAAAGGAGTGGCGGCTTAAACAGGTTCAGGTACAAATGCACGAGCCCAGTCCTGAATAGATCAGGGCCAAGTTGCCACTGTAGATGGTAACTTGTGCAGACGATGGCATCAACAGGGACCTGTCATCATTGGCGTCATGTGTAGGTGGCAGCAAGCTCAGCCCGCGAGTTTGCATTGAGCATGTGACGGGGTGAACGCTAAATGTGTGTCATGACGGGGCCGCCGCAAATCCGTTGCCTCAGCATTCCATCAGCAGAGTAGAACACTCCTTCGAGAGATGGCTCACCACAAGCAGATCGGCTGAAGCTCATACGCATGTCACCATTGCTGATGAAGAAGTGGATACTGCCGACCGTGATCAATGCGAGCACAGAAGAGTTGACAAGAAAAAAAGGCAGGAAGCATGTTGAGTATGTGCTGCAGCTTGTCTCTTCAATATGGGTGCTAATGACTCGATGTTTCTTTCTCTCACATGGCCGTTGAGGACGCTGTGTCTGACACTGGCTGCTTCCATTGCACTGCATCACATAGCAGCGCCGCAGGCGGCACTCTGTCTGACCCTCAAGCGCTGCACCCCCTGAAAGCGATCATCAGCCAGAGTACTTCAACTCCAAGTTGTGAACACTCATGATCACATTCCGCTGGTGCAGGACGTGAACCAGTGGAGTGCTGCCTCCGCTGGAGCCAGAGGCTGACGACCAGTAACTTCAAGAATGGTACCACCACCACCTCGCCTTCGTGGTCAACCAAATGTTGTGTTGCGCAAGCTGTGGCCACTGGCAAGGCACTTGCAGACATGCCCTGATGACATTAGCATTCGGTGTGTGACCTCATCGAAGCCGAGTGCAAATGCAACAGGGCAGCGGCGCCACACACTGATCTCACGGCGGGGGCCGCGTGCACGTGTTCTTCGGCACTTCGTCACGATTGAAAGGCGTGATGATTTGCTTCACCGCCCTGATCGAGTTGACAGTGCCCACCTGGGACTGCAGCTGCTCTGCCACACACGCACGTGAGGCATGCGTAGACCTGCGGGCCAGAAGTCACTTGTGGAAAACATGGTTTCTGCGCCCCGCATCTGATTCTTGGAGTGGTGTTGTCAGGGCCTATGAGGTTGACACGCCCCGCACGCCCTCCGCGCAGATGCGGTAGCGCTCGCGCAACAGGGGCAGGCTGGGCGAGAACTCAATGACAATGTGCCGCTCGAAGCCGCCTGGAGCATCGCCTCCGCCGGTGGAAGACGCCGCACCGCTTTCGCGTCTGCAAGAAGGTCAGCGTCAACATGCAATCAGTCAGGTGTAGGCTCCCGAAGATCGGGGGATCAGATAGCGAGCACGCACCAAGTCTGGCAATGTATGCACACGCAGTAAGTATGTCGGTGCTGCATCGCCCGTACTTCATGAAGGGTCAACAACGCGTTGATGCGTGCTGTACGCTGCAGCGGTGTGACCGTCGGCATCAACGGTAGCCTTACGCGGTATAGAAGTAGTAAAGTTGTGGGCACAGACTCGCTCAACAAAGCTCGCATCACTGCCAGGTGCCTTCACTCTTGCCGATCAACAATCCCTAGGGCCCCAAGCGCATCTAGGTGCTTCAGGAGAGTGCACGTAAAGTGCAACGCTCCCAATGAAGCGCAGTACATCAGTGCGCGCAAGCCTGACCACCCACCTGTGCAGCACGTAGCGCGTGTTGATGCAGTTCGACCAGCCCAGGCCCAGTGCTGCCGTGGTGCCTCCGCCGTCATCGCCGTTGCCCCGCCCTGGTCTGCTCGTGACCTGCAACAGATGCAATGCGCATGCACAGCAGCAGTCGAAAAACCTGCATGTTAAATGGAGTTCGAATGGCTCACGTGCCACATTACGACGTGACTGCATGCAGACTAGAGCGTTGTGGTTTGCAAGTTGCTGTACCTTACTGCTTTACAGTATCATGATACTACATCTTGGTTTGCTCACAAGCATTCTGAAGTAGTCTGCAGTGACCAATCATGCATAGCGCAGCATGAGCTCAGCAACACCTCGGCAGGGTTGACAGACAGGATCTTGGCGCAGGCAGGGTTCAAAGCTTGTGCTTCAGTCATGACAAACTGATGAAGTCACAAATCTGCGATCAAACGCGCTACACACGTACAGTTGATTGCCAATTTAAATATATGTTCTCAGTATAGTGATGCTGGAAGGGTGACATGCAGCTGATTGGCGTGCCCCTTCCAATAACAAAACGTGGTTCTCATCCTGTGAAAATCAGTACTTCTACTCCGGACCGTCCAACCGCTGGCAGTGGACTCCAGACCCACAGTGAGTGAGCGCCAGCGTCGTACCTGATTTACAATGACGAATGCCGCATTGTGTCTGTCGCTGAGCTGCTTCATGACCTGCAATGAATCACAGCAATGCGCAGGTGCGTTACTGCACTGAGCAACAGCATCATAGGGTCTGCTGACATCATTTCCGCCTCATATTTGATGCTGGCATGGCTCAGCAACTGCTGGTGAGTATGAAACTGTGCACCTGTGCTGACCGTATCGATGAACACCGCACATACCAGATGCACAGCATGCGGTTGATGACATTTTCACTTTCACACAACCGGCGTACAAATTGCACTTGCTCGACATCACGAAAGGCTCATACAAGAATATTACTGCCTGGTATATGCCGCATGCACCATATTGCTGCAGGAGTCGGACAGATGAAACTAAAGGCCTACTTGAGGTATTACTTGAAGTTTGTGGTATGGCGCGTAGAGTTGCCAACCATGGTGATGTTATGCCGCCGCCATTGTGTACTCAAACGCCGTGCACAGGCGTCACAGCACGCAGCCAACAAATCCTATTCTGCACACTTGTCGATTTCTTTTCACTAGTGACTTGCACTTATGTTGGCTGTCAAGCTGCCAACAGCGCAGCCGCCGCCTCCTGAATTGAGTTAGGCCGTCACCTTTACATATTTACATATTTAACTGCAGCATATCCGGGCCAGTCGCACGGCAGTCCTTCATGCACTTCCTGCATTTTCAATTAGTGCGATGATGCACCCAACTGTGTATGATGAATCTGCGCTTTGTGTAGACACATGTGTATCAAAATGCTCCTCTGCAGCCCTCTGCAGTACTTGTTGACCACAAGTCGGCCTGCTGGTTTGTTGACGCAACGCATTGAACATGTGGTGACTCACATGCGCTGATGACACGCGCCTGCACCCTCGAATTGTACTGGCTGAAACTAAGACTCTGCGCATGCCTGCAGCAAATTAACAGCGCATGTTATACAACTTGCAACCTTACGATCTCAGCCCATGACCAACAAAATCTGTAAAAACCTCTGCCTTCAAAGATCGCACAATCTCTCAGTGCACTTCTTCAAGAACTTGCACCAGCAAGCTCCGCTCTGAGCACACACCTGCGCCATCCTGAACAGCACGCGGGTACGGCCCGCTGAGTCATCGACCCCCCCTCCTCCTGGGCCGCGCCCCCCCCCCAGACCGCCCCCCGCCTTTTCAGACCGCATGAGCCCCGAAACCGAGTCGATAACCACAAGACGCACGCCGAGCTGCGCCATCGCCATCGCCAGCTGTTTAGTGATGATCTGCGGTGTGAAGCGACATCATCACATGCAAGGCGGCTGTGAGTGGCACAAGCGGAGAGGCGTGTGTGCATGGGGTGGCATCTGGTTGTGAAGCAGTTTGTCATGCGGCGTTGCCCGATGCTATATGCAAAGCAGCTGTGGGCGGTACACGCGGAGGAAGGTGTGCGCTCGGCGTGGCATTGGGTCTGAGAACACTTCGTAATGTGCTGCGTGGTTACGCTCAACCGAGACTCGCTGCGGTGATCCACTGGTACCTGCAACATGTTACAATGGCTACTTGCAGTATGTCATGGCGTCATGGCGGCTTTGTCGACTTGGTGGCTGTAGCGCCTTCCACAGTCACATCTGGCTAACAGTCAGTGATGGTGCCCGCATCAGGCACACGCTGAAACCTACAAAATGCACAACCCATTACAACAAGGGCTTGCGCAT